ATAATAAACAAAGTGCATTTACAGCATAAACATAAAGCTGATATCATAGATTTCTCATTCCATTACATGTGTCAAATATGTTTTTTAAATATTGTCATATTGTTAGCTCATATACCACAAATTAATAGAAGAGTTACTTGCAGAGTGCGTATTATTTTTGAACAGGATTAATTAACATATATGACTTTTAGAATTATAAAACTAACCAGATGTTTTGCATAATACTTAATTATGGTGACTGCTAACTATCTCTTAATTTAACATTGATAATTATTGAGAATGGAAGTCTCTTGGAACTGGAAGAAACAGAAATAGTCACATATGTATTGATGACTCTCAAAGAAATTATTGTCAAATAGAAATAAAAAGAGAAATAAAAGTAAAAGACAAAGAAATGCATAGTACAAGAGCTGGAATTCCAGATTAGAAAGGTATTTAAGAAAAGAAGGCAAATTGTCTTCTTCAAAGGGATCCAATGACCTTTAGAAAAGTCTTCTCTTTTGAGTGTCTGGCTTACCAATAAATTTCCAACCTGCTGATTATTTTTATATTTAAAAGAGTTTATTGTCATATTTCTTTTTTAAACACACATGAATGTACAGTCATGGAATACAAAAAGTAATAAATAATTTCTAAGGTTAATATCGAAAAAAATCCATTAAGAATTTACAGTTTAAAGTATACTTCACAATGGGTTGTAGTAGCACAGACTGAAAGTAACTTTTTTGCTACAAATGGAATACATTTCTATATACTGAATAAATATTGAGTGTCTGGTTTATTCAATAATTTTAAGGTAAAGAAAATGTCACAGTCTAGATAACAATTTCAGTTCCCACTGACCACACCACATATCACTGATCCAAATGAAAAATGTAAATATTGAAAACAAGGAGAACACTGAGAAAAACATAGTGATAAAAAATAGTTTTCTGGAAAATGTTTAACTGCTTGAACTAATTTAAAAACAAAATTAGTTGCTTCAAGGAAAAAGCTTCTATGTAAATGTAATAAGATGCCTTATTAATTGGTATTGATTATAATAACTAGAAATATTGTTACCTTAAATTATTTTAAAATTTTAAGAAAAAAAAGTCCTAAATTTTGCAAACATATCAAACTATTACCTTGCACAAGGCACAAGTCCTCTTAAAACAAGGTATAATATAATTCAGGGGCTGGCAAAGTTTTTATTAAAGGGCCTGATAGTAAATATTTTCAGCTTTGTGGGCTATAAGATCTCTAAGCAACTACTCTCTATCCTGCTGCAGAAAGAAGCCATCGACAATATGCAAATGAAAGGACATCATTGTGTTTCAGTAAAACTTTCTTTATGAAAACAGAGATAGTTTTAATTTGGCCCAAGGGCTGTAATTTGCAGATCTATGCCATACCTGATTCTTCTTCTAGTACAGTGAATGTATACTATAACTGAAACATTTCAATGTCAACTTACTATTCTTTCTGCAGATAAGAAAAGAACTATAAAGTTTTTTTTTTTTAGGCTAGGTGACTATATTATTTAATGGCTGAGGTTTTAATATGACTCTGGAATTTAGTATGACTCAGATTCCATTGACTCTGTCTTAGCTTTTGAAGAGGTCATTCTTTTTATTCATTCCTTTCACTTGAATATTCAGGATATTGAAGGAAGCCACAAAGAAAATGAAGAAAGAAGCAATTAATTCTGAAATGCAGAAGAAATAGACAAGAGAATCCTGAAAAGAAAGGCCTAAGCCAGGCGTGAAAATTTGTAAACAATAGTATGTACTGGTTAATGAGTAAGACAGAAAATATCAGAGAACAAGTTCATCATTTACAGCTTCCTTCTTGGGTATCCGAAATAGTAGCATAAAGCCAGAAAGTCCCTCCAGAGGTCATCTTCTCTTGTTCTTCACCTTCAGGCAAGTGGATGTCTAAATAATTTAAAATGACAGTGTGGAGGACTCCAAGTCTTTTAGAGATTTGACAGATCTTGAGAGAAACTTCAGAAGAACAGACCTGAATCTAAATCTCAGTGATTTGAAAAAGTTAGATTGTCATATGATCTGAATGTATTACCAGAAATGGCAAGCATGTTTGACAAATGTGCAAAGAAGCACTGGATTGTGGTTGTCAGTTATTATTATACTTTTATTAGGTTGTTTTACATCTTAATTTTTTTCTTCAAAAACTAATTCCCTGTCCTTCATTATAATAGGTTTAAAATGTAATATCATTACTCCAACATTTTACAGCTTGATTGTAATATTTGCTAAGAAATCGCATTGCCATTTTTCTCCACTAACATACATTGACTTAATTGAAGGGAGATTAGTTTAAAGTGTCTAAGACACTACTTTAAAACATTAAAACAAAAGTAAATGTCTATTATTAGCACCTCAGATTTTACTTCTTGTTGGGATATGGAAAGTAGAGAGTATAGGTGTCTATATAATGCTCAAACACATGAAATGCTTCTTTGAATTTAGGTGACTATATGAATTACTGTCCAAATTGAAATTACAAATAATGACATCAAGAAACAGAGGCAAGCCACACATGAATAAATGGCCACTCATCTTGAAGTTAAAAAGAGGATGATTCCATATGCATGAGTGACCAATGCACACAGGAGACTGATTACTTAAGAGTCAGCAACTAAAAATGTAAAATTTGAGTTTCTTCTAAATTCTATATACATATGTGAACATATGCAGATATATATATATATATATATATATATATAAAATCACACCTTTTAAAATAAATGAACATTGGCATTTCATTAATTACTGTTGTATAAAAATATATTGTCTATGTAAATAATTATCTAAAAAACTTAAAACATTCTTCTTATGCAAAAAGTATAATTAATATTCAACATACAAGAATAAAAGATGTATTTTTACTAGTTAATTTGAAGTAGTCAATCAAATAAGAATGTCATGAAAGAAACATCCTTACTAAAAAGGGGAATAGACTAGAAGAATAAAAGTCACTTCCTTGCTAAGATTTTCTGATAAGCCATCACATCTGTTGCCTATAAGATTCACATTCTGTTCACAATGACAGAGACTCTATTCCCCATGGGTTACAAGATGCGTTTCTGGGAACCAAATTCATAGAAGCACCATATCTCAGCCATATGCACACCTTATGGTGGGGCCACATGTTGTTATTTCTGGGGCAGTAACTTTAACCCTACACTCTGCTTGATGCTTTACATTTTTTCACATTTATTCAATGCTTGTAGAAGGACATGTTGTCTATGTGTAGTTGTAAGATCCTTGCAAAGAGTATTAGCTTTAGGGACTGCATTCATGTTGCTCAGTTTCTGAAATCTCTGGTCAGTATATTCATTCCACATTTAAGCTGCAATAACAGGATTTTAAAACTCAAAAAGCATATAGGTGTTTATAGTATTCTCTGATGGCAGTTTGTATTTCTGGTAAGTGGTGAAATCCCTTTATTATTTTTATTGTGTTTATTTGATTCTCCTCCGTTTTCTTCTTTATTAGTCTAGCTATCATTCTATCTATTTTGTTATTATTTTCCAAAAAAAACAAGCTCCTGCATTCATTGATTTTTTTTGAAGGTTTTTTTGTGTCTCTATCCCCTTCAATTCAGCTCTGATCTTATTTCTTGTCTTCTACTAGCTTTTGCATTCGTTTGCTCTTGTCTTTCTAGCTTTTTTAATTGTGATGTTAGGGTGTTGATTTGAGATCTTTCTAGCTTTCTGATGTGGGCATTTAGTACTATAATTTTCCCTCTAACACTGCTTTAGCTGTGTTCCAGAGATCCTGGTACATTATCTCTTTTTTCTCATTGGTTTCAAAGAACTTCTTGATTTCTGTCTTAATTTTATTATTTACCCAGGAGTCATTCAGGAGCAGGTTGTTCGACTTCCATGTAGTTGTGTGGTTTTGAGTGAGTTTCTTAATCCTGAGTTCTAGTTTGATTACATTATGGTCTGAGAGACTGTTTGTTATAATTTCAGTTCTTTTGCATTTGCTGAGGAGTGTTTTACTTCCAATTATGTGGTCGATTTTAGAATCAGTGCCATGTGGCACTGAGAAGATTGTATATTTTATTGATTTGGGGTGGAGAGTTCTGTAGATGTCTATTAGGTCTACTTGATTCAGAGCTGAGTTCAAGTCCTGAATGTCCTTGTTAATCTAGAACAAAAGGATAAATTTCTGGAGATATACACCCTCCCAAGACTAATCAAGGAAAGAATCAAATCCCTGAATGGGCCATTAACAAGTTCTGAAATTGAGGCAGTATTTAATAGCCTACTTACAAAAAATGCCCTGGACTAGATGGATTAACAGCCAAATTCTTCCAGAAGTACAAAGAGGAGCTGGTACCATTCTTTCTGAAACTATTCCAAACAGTTGAAAAGGAGAGTCTCCTTCCTTATTCATTTTATGAAGTCAGCATTACCCTGATGCCAAAATGGGGCAGAGACAAACACACAAAAAGAAAACTTCAGGCCAATATCTCTGATGAATATGCATGTGAAAATTCCCAATAAAATACTGGCAAACCAAATCCAGCAGCATATCAAAAACTTATCCACCTCGATCAAGTTGGCTTCATCCCTGGGATGCAAGGCTGGCTCAACATACACAAATCAAGAAACATAATCCATCGCATAAACAGAACCAAAGGCAAAAAGCCACATGATTATCTCAATAGATGCAGAAAAGGCCTTTGATAAAATTCAACGTCCTATAATGTTAAAAACTCTCAATAAGCTAGGTATTAAGAGAACATATCTCATAATAATAATAGCCCTTTATGGCAAACCCACAGCCAATATCATATTGAATGGGCAAAAATAGCAAAGACACTTTGAAAATTAGTAAAGACATCTCGGTTTTCAAGATGGCACAGTAAGAACAACTCAGGATCGCAGCTCTCAGCGAATGCTCAGAGGGTGAGTCAAAGCCACATTTCCAGACAGATCTTTGTTAACCACAGAATGGGGAAAGTCCCAGGTGTAGGAAAGACACGGGATGCAAGCGCAGCCAGTTTGGCTGTTGCGGCCACTTCAGCCGGTGCTGCAGCTTAGGCCCTCCCCAACAATCCGCACAAAACACATGGGCCCTGGTGCCCTGCTAAACTGGCAATCTGAGATTTGGGAGGGCAGATTAGCATATCCATCTGATTAAACGAGACTTGGACAGTGAGCCAGACCAGGAGATTCCTGGGAAGTGGCGTTTGAGCCAGCGCAGTGGCTAGCTGCATGGGAAATCACACAGATCCTGGTGCTTTAACAACGGATGACTGAAACACCTGGGAGAGAGCCATCCATTAAACTTAAAAAAAAAAAAAAGAAAGAAAGGTGCTCTGAGGCAGGGAGCCAGGTGAGTGGGCTCGGCGGGTTTCACCCCCACAGGGACAAACAAAACGGCAACTCGAAATGCTCCGGGTGGAGAGTTTCACTGCCAGCACAGCTGAACCCAGGATGGTGCAGCTCGGTAGGGGAGGGGCGTTCACCATTACCGAGGATATCCGCCCCTATGGAGGTACACTCCCATCACTGACGCAGCCTGCCACTGCTGAGGCAACATGCCATAACAGTGAGACTCCTCTGCAGGGTGGAGCTGGTGGCAGCAGGGCAGAGCCTCCCGTGGAACCTGCAGCTGCAGGGCAAAGCCTGCAGCAAAGGGCCCACACCACATCAGCAGGGTGGAGCTTTGGCAGGCAAATAGCGACTAGACTGCCTCCTAGCTGGGCAGGATAGTGCCATGGACACTCATAAAGAAAGCCCCAACCCCCCGAGACAGAGCATCTGAGGAAAAAAATGGGTTCTAAGAGTTGTGCTACAGCAGAATTAAACGCACCTGCCTAACAGCCCTGAATGAAAAACGGAGCTCACAGCTCAGCACTTGAGCTCCTATAAAGTACAGACTGACTCCTCAAGCAGCTCCCTGATCCCTGTATATCCAGAGTCACCTCAAAAAGGACTGATCAGACTGATTAGGCGGGCACCATTCTGGGACAAAGATAGCAGAAGAAGAAACTGGTAGCATCCCTCACCGTTCTGTAGCTGCTACAGGTGTACCCCAGAGAAGCAGGGCCTGGAGTGGACCTCAGCAGTAATACCGCAGAGGAGCTAGACTGGTAGAAGGAAAACCAAGTAACAGAAATACCTCATCATCAACAATCTGGGCGTCCACTCAGAGACCCAATCGAAAAGTCATCAACTACTCAGCTGACAGGTGGATAAATCCACAAAGATGGGAAGAAACCAGCACAAAAAAAAGAAAAACACCCGAAACCAGAACAACTCACCTCCTACAAAGAACCAAAACTCCTCACCAGCAAGGGAACAAAGCTGGATGGAGAATAACTGTGATGAAATGATGGAAATAGACTTCAGAAGGTGGTAATGAGAAACTTCTGTGGGCTAAAAGAACATGTTCTAAATCAATGCAAAGAAACTAAGAACCTTGAAAAAAGATTTTAAAAAAGATTCAAGGAAATGATAACAAGAATGGATAACTTAGAGAGGAATATGAATGAATTGAAGGAGCTGAAAAACACAACACGAGAACTTCGCGAAGCATGCACAAGTTTCAACAGCTGAATTGACCAAGCAGAAGAAAGAATATCAGAAGATGAAGATCAACTCAATGAAATAAAACAAGAAACCAAGATTAGAAATAAAAGCGCAAAAAGGAATGAAAAAGTCTCCAAGAAATGTGGGACTATGTAAAGAGACCTAAACTACGTTTGATAGGTGTACCAGAAGGGGTAGAAGAAAATGCATCCAAGCTGAAAAATACTCTTCAGGATATTATCCAGGAAAATTTCCACCACCTAGCTAGGCAGGCCAACGCTCAAATTCAGGAAATACAGAGAACACCACAAAGATATTCTGCAAGAAGAGCAACCCCAAGGCACATAATCGTCAGATTCACCAGGGTTGAAATAAAGGAGAAAATACTAAGGGCAGCCACAGAAAAAGGTCGCGTCACCCACAAAGGCAAGCCCATCAGACTCACAGCAGATCTCTCAGCAGAAACCCTACAAGCCAGAAGAGAGTGGGGGCCAATATTCAACATCCTTAAAGAAAAGAACTTTCAACCTAGAATTACATGTCCAGCCAAACTGAGCTTCATATGTGAAGGAAAAATAAAATCCTTTGCGAACAAGCAAGTACTCAGAGATTTTGTCACTACCATGCCTGCTTTACAAGAGCTCCTGAAAGAGGCACTACACATAGAAAGGAACAACCAGTACCAGCCATTCCAAAAACACACTAAATGCTAAAGAGCATCAACAAAATGAAGAATCTGCATCAACTAACGGGCAAAACAGCCAGCTAGCATCAAAATGGCAGTATCAAATTCACACATAACATTATTAACCCTAAATGTAAATGGGCTAAATGCACCAATCAAAAGATACAGACTGGCAAATTGGATAAAAAATCAAAACCCATCAGTGTGCTGTATACAGGAAACCCATCCCACATGCAAGAATACACAAAGGCTCAAAATTAAGGGATGGAGGAAGATTTACCAAGCAAATGGAGAGCAAAAACAAGCAGGAGTTGCAATTCTTGTCTCTGATAAAATAGACTTTAAAGCAACAAAGATCAAAAGAGACAAAGAAGGTCACTACATAATGGTAAAAGGATCGATACAACAAGAAGAGCTAACGATCCTAAATATATATGGACCCAATACAGGAGCACCCAGATATATAAGGCAAGTTCTTAATGACTTACAAAGAGACTTAGACTCCCACACAATAATAGTGGGAGACCTTAACACTCCACTGTCAATATTAGACAGATCAACCAGACAGAAAATTAACAAGGATATCCAGGGCTTGAACTCAGACCTGGAGCAAGAAAACCTGATAGACATTTACAGAACTCTCCACCCCAAATCCACAGAATATACATTCTTCTCAGCACCACATCACACCTACTCTAAAATTGACCATGTAATTGGAAGTAAAGCACTCCTCAGCAAATGCAAAACAATGGAAATCATAACAAACAGTCTCTCAGACCATAGTAATATCAAGTTAGAACTCAGAATTCAGAAACCATCTCAGAACCGCACAGCTTCATGGAAACTGAACAACTGGCTCTTGAATGTTGACTGGATAAACAATGAAATGAAGACAGAAATAAAGAAGTTCTTCAAAACCAATGAGAATGAAGACACAACATGCCAGAATCTCTGGGACACATTTAAAGCAGTCTCTAGAGGAAAATATATAGCAATAAGTGCCCATATGAGAAGAATGGAGAGATCCAAAATTGACACCCTATCATCAAAATGGAAAGAGCTAGAGGAGCAAGATCAAAAAAACTCCAAGCCCAGCAGAAGAGAAGAAATAACTAAGATCAGAGCTGAACTGAAGGAGATAGAGACACGAAAAACCCTTCAAAAATCAATAAATCCAAGAGCTGGTTTTTTGAAAAGATCAACAAAATAGACAAACCACTAGCCAGATTGATAAAAAAGAAAAGAGAGAACAACCAAATAGATGCAATAAAAAATGATAAAGGGGAAATCACCACAGATTCCACAGAAATTCAAACCATCATCAGAGAATATTACAAACAACTCTCTGCACAAAAACTAGTAAACCTGTAAGAAATGGATAAATTCCTGGACTCCTGTGTCCTCCCAAGCCTAAACTAGGAGGAAGCTGAAACTATGAATAGACCAATAACAAGGTCTGAAGTCGAGGCAGCAATTAGGAGCCTACCACACAAAAAAGTCCAGGTCCAGATGGGTTCACAGCCGAATTCTAAGAGACACGCAAAGAGGAGCTGGTACCATTCCTTCTGAAACTCTTCCAAATATTCCAAAAAGAGGGAATCCTTCCCAAATCATTTTATGAGACAAACATCATTCTGATACCAAAACCCGGCAGAGATCCAACAAGAAAAGAAAACTTCAGGCCAATATCCATGATGAACATAGATGCAAAAATCTTCAATAAAATATTGGCAAGCCGATTGCAACAGCAAATCAAAAAACTTATCCATCATGATCAAGTAGGATTCATCCCGGGATGCAAGGCTGGTTCAACATATGCAAGTCTATAAACGTAATTCACCACATAAACAGAACCAAAAACAAAAACAACATGTTTATCTCAATTGACGCAGAGAAGGCATTCGACAAAATTCAAGCCCTTTATGCTAAAAACCCTCAATAAACTCGGTATCGATGGAACGTATCTCAAAGTAATAAAAGCTATTTATGGCAAACCAACAGCCAATACCATACTGAGTGTGCAAAAACTGGAAGCATTCCCTTTGAAATCTGGCACTAGACAAGGATGCCCTCTGTCACCACTCCTATTCAATATAGTACTGGAAGTTCTAGCCAGAGCAATCAGGCAAGAAAAAGAAATAAAGGGTATTCAAATAGGAAAGCTGGAAGCCAAATTGTCTCTATTCACAGATGACATGATAGTATATCTAGAAGACCCCATCGCCTCAGCCCAAAAATTCCTGAAAGTGATAAGCAACTTCAGCAATGTCCCAGGATATAAAATCAATGTGCAAAAATCACAAGCTTTCCTATACACCAATAACAGACTTAAAGAGAGCCAAATCAAGAACGAACTCCCATTCACAATTGCTACAAAAAGAATGTAATACCTAGGAATACAACTCAAAAGGAATGTACGGGACCTCTTCAAGGAAAACTACAAACCACTGCTCAACGAAATAAGAGAGGACACAAACAGATGGAGAAACATTCCATGTTCATGGTGAGGAAGAATTAATATCATGAAAATGGCTATACTGCCCAAAGTAATTTACAAAATCAACGCTATCTCTATCAAGCTACCACTGACTTTCTTCACAGAACTGGAAAAAACCACCATGAACTTCATATGGAACCAAAAGAGAGCCCGCATAGCCAAGTCAATTCTAAGCAAAAAGAACACAGCGGGGGGCATCACACTACCTGATTTGAAACTATACTACAAGGCTACAGTAATCAAAACAGCATGGTACTGGTACCAAAACAGAGATATAGACCAATGGAACAGAACAGAGACATCGGAAGCAACACAACTTATCTACTACCATACAATCTTTGATAAACCTGACAAAAAGAAGCCATGGGGAAAGCATTCCCTGTTTAATAAATAGTGTTGGGAAAACTGGTTAACCATGTGCAGAAAGCAAAACCTGGACCCCTTCCTGACACCTTACACTAAAATTAACTCCAGATGAATTAAAGACTTAAACATAAGACCTAGCACCATAAAAACCCTAGAAGAAAATCTAGGCAAAATCATCCAGGACATAGGAGTAGGCAAGGACTTCATGACCAAAACACCAAAAGCATTGGCAACAAAAGCCAAAATAGACAAATGGGACCTAATGAAACTCCACAGCTTCTGCACGGCAAAAGAAACAGTCACTAGAGTGAATCGGCCACCAACAGAATGGGAAAAAATTTTTGCAGTCTACCCATCTGACATAGGGCTGATATCCAGAATTTACAAAGAACTCAAACAGATTTACAGGAAAAAAACAAACAAGCCCATTCAAAAATTGGCAAAGGATATGAACAGACACTTTACAAAAGAAGACATACAGGAGGCCAACAAATATATGAAAAAATGCTCATCATCACTGGTCATTAGAGAGATGCAAATCAAAACCACATTGAGATACCATCTCACGCCAGTTAGAATGGCGATCATTAAAAAATCTGAAGACAACAGATGCTGGAGAGGATGTGGAGAAAAAGAAACACTTTTCCACTGATGGTGGGAGTGTAAATTAATTCAACTATTATGGAAGACAGTGTGGCAATTCCTCAAGGCCTTAGAAATAGAAATTCCATTTGACCCAGCAATCCCATTACTGGGTATATATCCAAAGGACTATAAATCGTTCTACTATAAGGAAACATGCACACAAATGTTCATTGCAGCACTGTTAACAATAGCAAAGACCTGGAACCAACCCAAATGCCCATCGATGATAGACTGGATTGGGAAAATGTGGCACAGATACACCATGGAATATTATGCAGCAATCAGAAATGATGAGTTGGTGTCGTTTGTAGGGACATGGATGAATCTGGAGAATATAAATCTCAGCAAACTGACACAAGAACAGAAAATGAAATACTGCATATTCTCACTCAAAGGTGGGTGATGAAAAATGAGAACACATGGACACAGGGAGGGGAGTACTAAACACTGGGGTCTATTGGGGGGAAAAGGGGAGGGCCAGCGGTGGGGGGGAGCTGGGGAGGGATAGCCTGGGGAAAAATGACAAATGTGGGTGAAGGGGAGAAAGGAAGCAAAACACCTTGCCTTTTGTGTACCTATGCAAATGTCTCACACATTCTGCACATGTACCTCAAAACCTAAAATGCAATAAAAAATTTTAAAAATAATGAGTAAAGACAATGTTGCCCTCTATTACCACTCCTATTGAATACAGTATTGGAAGTTCTGGCTAGAGCAACCAGGCAAGAGAAAGAAATAAAGAGTATTCAAATAGGAAGAGAGAAAGTCCAATTATCTCTGTTTGCAAATGACATGATTTACAGTTAGAAAACCCTATCATATCAGCCCCAAAACTACTAAAGTTGATAAGCAACTTCAATAAACAAAATCAATGTGCAAAATCACAAGCATTCCAATGCAGCAACAATAGACAGAGAGCCAAATCATGAATGAACTCCCATTCACAATGCTAGAGAGAGAATAAAATATCTAGAAATACAACTTACAAGGGATGTGAAGGACCTCTTCAAGGAGAGCTACAAACCACTGCTCAAGGAAATAAGAGAGGACATAGACAAATGGAAAAACATTTCATTCTTATGGATAGGAAGAATCAATATCATGAAAATGGCCATACTGCCCAAAGTAATGTATAGATTCAATACTATTACCATCAAACTACCATTGACTTTCTTCTCAGAATTAGAAAAAGCTACTTTAAATTTTATATGGAATCAAAAAACCCCATATATAGCCAACACAATCCTAACAAAAAGGACAAAGCTCGTTGGCGCTGTCACGGCGGGTGTGCTGAAGAAGACCACTGGCCTTGTGGGATTGGCTGTGTGCAACACTCCACACGAGAGGCTAAGAATATTGTACACAAAGATTCTTGATGTTCTTGAGGATATCCCTAAAAATGCAGCTTATAGAAAATATACAGAACAGATTATAAATGAGAAACTGGCTATGGTTAAAATGGAATCAGATGTTCAAAAATTAGAAGACCAGCTTCAAGGTGGTCAATTAGAAGAGGTGATTCTTCAGGCTGAACATGAACTAAGTCTGGCAAGAAAAATGGTGCAGTGGAAAACATGGGAGCCATTAGTGGAAGAACCTCCTGCCGATCAGTGGAAATGGCCAATATAATTATTAAGTGATTTTGGTGGGTTGATGGGAAACTGATGTAATTAAATATTCTGTTCTATTAAGAGCATGTTCATTGACATAATCAAGAAAACTGATATAGAAAATATCTAGGAAACTTAAAATTAGTGATTATGGTAATTCAGTCATGTGAATCCATTTTTGATTTGTAAAGTAGTCACACAAATTATTTCAAAGATATTTCTATGAACAGAGACGTCATGGGAAGATTTGAGAATTAATTAGAAAAATTCCTACAGATCTTCAGTATAGAGGCCATAATCAAAAAGTAAAGTTTCTTTAGTAGTATGTTCAATATATCATTCATTTTAAAAAATTATCCTGAAGAAGAAAAGAAAAGGTCCTTAATTATTATGGTCTAAACAAATTTATAGATCACTGTTTGAGGTAAAAAATTTGTGATATTTTCAAATGTGATAAAATAGCACAAATGACTGGTAATAAAATTTGAAATTATGGTTAACCTCCTTAACTGTGATCTTATGGATGTAAAGTAAAATTTAAATATATAGTTATATATTGATTACAGAATCCATAATGCCATTTTTAGTCATTATTTGAATTATACCATTTACTCTGTTTTCTTAGTCTTAATTTTATTACATATTGTTGTTACTATATTTGAAAACCATCAAATTAGAATATGTTGTACAGTTGAAGAAATTGACTTGATACTTGAAAGAAATATTTTCCACTGCATAGAGGTATTTGGAAAAACTTTTCCTTTTGTTGTATTTGTGTAAGTTAGCTTTCTGGCCCATAGCCTTTTAATTTTTTAATCAACCTAATTACATCAGGATAGAGGTAGAATTTCTGTAAAAGAAGAGACATTAAGAGTTCCTGAAATTTATATCTGGCATATGGGCAGGCTTATATTCAAAACATCTTAGTCATATGACTATAAATTCAAAGTGGAATCACTAAGTAGTTTGCAGTACGTTTCTAATATAAGTGTAGGTGGGTATCAAAACAAGACAAATGCTGTTCAGGGAAAGAAGTTGGCAAGGTTAAATTTAAACAAAAATAAAATTACATGTGTTTTTGCCTTTTCTTCCTAAAAAAAAAAAAAAAGGACAAAGCTGACTTCAAGCTATGCTACAAGGCTACAGTAACCAAAACATGGTACTGGTGCCAAAACAGATGTATAGAGCAATGGAACAGAATAGAGACCTCAGTAATAACACCACACGTCTACAACCATCTGATCTTTGACAAATGTGACAAAACAAGCAATGGTGAATGGATCTATTCAATAAATGATGCTGGAAAAATGGCTAGTCATATACAGAAAACTAACACTGGACCCCTTCCTTATACCTTATACAAAAATTAACTCAAGATGGATTAAAGACTTAAATGTAAAACCCAAAACCATAAAAATCCTAGAAAAAAACGGAGGCAATACCATTCAGGACATAGGCATGGGCAAAGACTTCATAATTAAAACACTAAAAGCAATCACAGAAAAAGCTAAAATTGACAAATGGGATCTAATCAAACAAAACAGTTTCTGCACAGCAAAGGAAACTATCATCAGAGCGAACAGGCAACCTACAGAACGTGAGAAAGTTTTTGCAGTCTACCCATCTGACAAAGATCTACTGTCCAGAATTTACAAGGAACTTAAACAAATTTACAAAAAGAAAAGGAGCCTATCAAAAAGTGGGCAAAGGATATGAACAGAAACTTCTCTAAAGAAGACATTTATGTGGCCAAGAAACATATGAAGAAAAAAACGCTCAGCATCACTGATCATTAGAGAAATGCAAATCAAAACCGCAATGAGATACCATCTCATGCCAGTCAGAATGGTGATTATTAAAATGTCAAGAAGCAATAGATGCTGGTAAGGCTGTGGAGAAATAGGAACACTTTTACACCATTGGTGGCAATGTAAAAGTTCAACCATTGTGTAATACAGTATGGCAATTCCTTAAATGGAAATGTCATTTGACCCAGCAATCCCATTACTGGGTATATACCCAAAGGAATATAAATCATTCCACTGTAAAGACACATGCAACATATGTTTACTGCAGCACTATTTACAACAGCAAAGACATGGAACAAACCCAAATGCCCATCAATGATGAAGTGTGATACATACACACCCTGGAATATTATGCAGCCATAAAGAAGAATAGTTTACAGGGAGATGGATGAAGCTGGAAGCCATCATTCTCAGCAAACTAACACAGGAACAGACAAGCAAACGCTGCATGTTCTCACTCATTAGTGGGAGCTGAACAATGAGAACACATGGATACAGGGAGGGGAACATCACACACCAAGGCCTTTTGGGAGTGAAGGGCAAGAGGAGGGAACTTAGAGTGCAGGTCAATAGGTGCAGCAAACCACCATGGCGCATGTATACCTATGTAACAAAGCTGCCTATTCCACACGTGTATCCCGGAACTTAAAGTAAAATTTAAAAAATAAAAATAAAAAAGTAAAAAGGCAAGAAACACACAGACTTTATGAGCTCTTTGGTGACTATTTACACTGGTTTATTGTGCCTAGTATATTGAATGGATAAGGAACACATTTGAGAGATACATGGTGGCAAATAGGTATTACACTTCTGGACAATTCTATGGTGCTTGAATTTTGCCAAAGCATCTTGAACTATTTTTTAGACACATGGAACTACCAAAACTTGAAAGTCAGTTTCCCAAGTATTAGTCCACATATATATTTCAAGGGGACTTCAATTCATATGATTCCAATTCATTTATATTTACATCATTGAGATATTCCCTGGAGCTGTTGTTTTCTTTTTAAAGCTTAAGATCGCTTTCGTTAGCTCTTTTTTATGAATCAGAAAAGTTTGTTTCCTTTAGGTCCAATTTCTAAGAGAGGTTGTAGTTGAGTTCTATACTGATATTTTAGAGAAGACTGGCCTTGCCGAAATAGTGTACATGGTTTTTTTTTTTTTTTTCTTTTTCTTTTTAAAGAAACAGGATTTTACTCTGTTGTCCAGACTGGAATGCAGTGGTGCAATCATAACTACCCTAACCTCAAACTTCAGGGCTCAAATAATTCTGATTCAACTGCCTGATTAGCTAGGACTACAGATGCACACTACCATATTTATCTAAGGTATTTTTTGTTTTGTTTTGTTTTTGCTTCTTGTAAAGTCAGGGTCTCACTATGTTTATCAGGCTGGTCTTAAACTCCTGGCCTCAAGCAATCCTCCCACTTCAGCCTTGAAAACTGATGAGATAACAGGTGTAAGCCACTGTGCCTTGCCAAAATATATTTTTTTTTTGAGACAGAGTCTTGCTCTGTTGCCCAGGCTGGAGTGCAGTGGTGTGATCTGAGCTCACTTCAACCTCCGCCTCCTGGGTTCAAGCAATTCTCCTGCCTCAGCCTCCCAAATAATTGAGACTACAGGCACCTGCTCCCACGCCCAGCTAACTTTGTTGTTGTTGTTGTATTTTTAGTAGAGATGGGGTTTCACCATACTGGCCAGGTTGGTCTCAAACTCCTGACCTTGTGATCTGCCTGCCTTGGCCTCCTGAAGTGCTGAGATTACAGGCATGAGCCACCCTGCCTGGCCACCAAAATACTTTTAATACAACACATAAAAACTTGGCAAACTGGTAAATACCTGTGAGTTTAGCACTGTGCTACACTCACTATGTACACATAGTACTTCTGTTCTGGGAAATTATAATGCAGAAAAATAGACAAGACCAACATTTGCAGAGTATGTACTAAATACTAGTAGTATTTGTATCTACCTGTATAGTTTCTGAACCCTCTAGATCAATATCATTTGGTTGCTTATTTAAAATGTGATGTTTCTTGGAAACTTCCTCAATGATTTGGATTCATTAGGTCTGGGTGATTCTCATGTATATTCACATTTGATAGCACATGTGAAAATTAGTCCAGCAGATAATAAATATTGAATTTAGAATTAGGGTAAATGCTTTAGGGTAAGAATAATTAGGAAGATTTGTGCAGAAGCAAGCACTGGGGCTGCTCAGCTGAAGATGATTCTGGATATGTAGAAAAGAAGGAAGATCACACTTTTCGTTTAACGAGGAGCATGAGCTTTAATATAGAGTTAAGATTCACTAAATAGGGGATAATGGTAAGGCCAGCCCAACTACAGAATCATATCAGAAACTGCAAGAAATAAGGCAGAGTTCTGAAGTGAGGTCTATACCAGGCGGAGAAGCTTAGAATATAAACTATAGAACACGGGCCAGCATAATGAAATTGGTAACTGGAAAAATCAGTCCCATTGCTGTAGGTAGGAGGGCCTGAGAACAGAAACCCTGGTGGGAGGGGTACAAACTGAGGCAGTGTTTCAGTAATTCAGGTGGAGAATGATAATGGCTTTGAGTATACAGGACCCGACAATCTAATTTGTGGGATCTACTACAAAATGAAAATATGAGGATTCTGTTTAAAACATATAAGGCGATTCATGACAGTAACAGCAAAGAGATTTCCACATGTGTGTTCACATGGTTTGGCTCTGTGTCCCCACCGAAATCCTCATCTCGAATTGTAATGCCCACATGTGGAGGAAGGGAGGTGATTGAGTCATGAAAGAAGTTTCCCTCATGTTTGCCTCATGATAGTGACTTCTCACAAGAGCTGATGGTTTTATAAAGGGCACTTCTCCCTTCACTTCCTCCTCTCTCTCTCCTGTCACGATATAAGACTACCTTGCTTCCTCTTCACCTTCTGCCATGACTGTAAGTTTCTTGAGACTTTCCCAGCCATTCAGAACTATGAGTCAATTAACCCTCTTTCCTTTATAAATTATCTGGTAGTATCCTTATAGCAATGTAAAATGAACTAATAGAGAGGGGGGGGGAGAGAGAGAGAGAGAGAGAGAGAGAGAGAGAGAGAGAGAGAGAGAGAGAGAGAGAGAGAGAGAGTTTGTAACATGGGGACACTATTTATCAGTACAGGTCCCTGTTCTTGAAGCTGGCCCTAAGAGTAGGGTGTAATGCAATGCGGCCATAAAATGGAGGCCATGAGAATGCTTTCCTAAAAAATTTCATCTGTGAATAACATTTGAAAA